ATATATTATCAAATTAATTTCATACGCGTGTAATTTTTCTTTGCATTTTTTATTATAATCTATATTATATTTATACGTTTATATATTATTATACTCAATTAAACTAGTATATATATTTAAGTCAGCAAAACAAAATGTTGAATTTAATTTTAATGCTAATCTCGAATCTTTGTTAATCTGATAAGTATATATTAACAAAAGTGCAATATATAATATACGCACATATACACAGCTCAAGATCCCATAATTTAATGCGTTAAATTCTTTATAAAATCACAATAAAAATTTACAACAAAAATAACTTAAGATATTTTTTTATAAATAAAAATATTTTGAAATTTATCTTACAGAAAAATCTTTCAAAACTCTATTCCCTCTTCGTCAATTTGTCAAAATAAAATCAAGATTATTTTCTTTTTATAATTAATTATCAAATTATTTCATGATATGCGAATCATCTTGTATACACAGAGTGTTGAAAAATAGGGGCAAAGAATTTTGGGAACTTATTTTATTATTCGCATATAAAAAACATTTTTATTATAATTAATTTCAAAGTAGATTTACATTATTAAAGTTTACAAAACTTGTGATTTGTAATTCTTATCTCCACTTCGCATCTTACTTCCATATCTGTATTTCCTCACTCTTGAAGGGGACATTCTCTTCGTAATCGGAGTCACGGCACCAACGCGCGTTCTAGAAAGGAAATATTTAAATCGTATCGACAGACTTTATTAATGAGAGGAAAAAAATGCAGTTCGTTTCCTGCAGATCATGAATCGCATACTTGTCACCTCGCGGGCCCTGTCAACCGGTCACTCGATCAATGAAATTCTCGTCGTTTCTTTCTCCCTCTAACTCGCGTAGGGAATAAAATATTAAGTCCTCCTTCTCTTACGAGCCGATCCTCATCGTTCCCTCAATATTTCCATATGTTGCGTCGATTTGCATGCCGCGCTTTTCAAAAGCTACCTACGCGGGTAGCCTAACAGGGGCGGCCCACGCCGGGTTCTGGAACCCGTTCACCCACCTTTCGACCTCGCCCATTCGCCACCACCAACGTGCCGTTTCACTGACACCGTATACGCGCCTGCGCTTATCTGACAGTTCCTATTCGGAACTGCCTCCCTTCTGCGAGATAGTTAGCTATCCGATTCATTGAATGCGGTATCGGCGGTTTCTTAAATTTCTATCAAATAGATTGACTCGCAAGTGCTTGCTGTTCCATCGAAAAAGTGATTAATCCAGTCAACGTTTCTGTGCAAAACTGTCATTGAATTTTCAAGCATTTCTCTAAACAATCGAAATTTTTTTTGTCTTCTAAATACAATGATTAATTTAATGACTACTATTTATTAATGTGAGTAAATAGTTGATTAGGATCCAATCTAATATGTTCAGGGTATGTAGTGATTGTGATAATGGCATAAAAGTGTTCATCGAGTCAATCTTATCAAATCGAATAAAAATATATATATATAAGTCTAATAAAATTAAAGGAAGCAATAATTGAATGAATTAATAAATGCGTGATAAACATGAAAAATTTGTGCCAGAATTTTAATGTGATTTGCGCATATCATATTTTTTCCGGCGACAAAATATAACTTATATAAAATAAATAATAAATGTAATAATAAGTAATAATAAATAATAAATGTAAATCAAAGTTAAATATTCTTTTTGGAGAAACATTTCTCTAGAGTTGCTCATCGAAATTGATCATCGTTATTGTAAATTGCGACCTGTCTCCATAATATATTTGTGCAACTAATCTCTCTTCGACGTGTCTGAAATTACATCCATACATTCCGTACTCATCATCCTTGACAAACGCAATCACGGAGGTACGTGAACGGTAGCGATGTATTCGATCACACATTCATCGGTAAATCGTGACTAATCGTCGGAAGAATCACGTCTATGTTTGGAAACGATCGAAACAGGTTGTGATATGGTGTAAATGGCGATCACCGCCGTAGCTAGCTGTCTGGGTCCCCCACCTTTGCCACCCGGGAAGCGGTTCCTGCAAAAGTCCTCGAGAAAATTGTCGTCCACCTACAAGAGCTTCCGCGACCCTGCCGTGGAGGCTTGGCTCCTCCATGGGGCTCCGGAAGATCCGATGGCAAAGCTGCGTTCGCGCGAGACGACCGCTGAACGTGGAACGATCGCTAACCAAAGCCTGTTCAGAAGCTGCTCCGAAGGAAACTTACACGCACGTGAAAAGACAGCCGCGCTGTCGAGCAATACGCCCCTGGACAAATGCATCAAGGCAATTTACGGCAGTTGGAAAAATCTCTTGTACCGTAAGTGCGCAGATCTCGCAAGATGTAACCGCAAACAGGAGGGAATATCGATTAAGAATGAGAAATTTGCAATTTTGAGCGAGGAGAAAACTCCGCCAAACGCTCATATCGCTGCTCTTACTTCGATATCTGAAGTAACTTAAAGAGAAAGAGAGAGACTTGTAGTTATTGCGAATTTAAATTAATTTACATATATTTTTTTTCTGATAAAAAGATATGTCGTTTTTCAAAATAATAAGCAAATTATTATTTCTATTTTATTTCTCGAATTTAAATGAATTTAGATATATTTTTTTATGAAAGGAAGATATGTCGTTTTTCAAAATAATAAGCAAATTATTATTTCTATTTTATTTCTCGAATTTAAATGAATTTAGATATATTTGTTTCTGATAAGAAGATATGTCGTTTTTCAAAATAATAAGCAAATTATTATTTCTATTTTATTTCTAGTGTGAGTATAATATATATTAATTTTTATCGTCGTTGAACGAGTTAGAATATCGATATGATACTTTTATCAGTCATCGAGCGAAATATAAATGAAATAAATGACGAATTAGTGTTTTGCTGCTCGATATTTATGATGCTCGAATTTCGCTGGTGAATTACGCCTTCTTTAGTTATCGAAGTTATCGAACGTGCAACTTTCACACAGTAAGCACATTGTGAGCTGTGCATTCCGCGCTCGCAGAAGCATCGATCGCAGAAGCGATCTGAAAACTAGCACATGTGCTAATATGTATCGGAAAGAAACCGATGGTGCCTGGATAAGTACTTTTTTTTTAAATCGGGAAATGCTTTTTTTTCTAAAATAAACTTCTATTTTATTATTTCAATAATATATAGCACTCATGATTTATATTTTATTCGTGTTTATATAAATTAAGTTAAATTATATATTTATAAATAAAAATATTTTACAGAGTCTTACATCGCGTGAATATATCTTTCTCTCTTTTCCTTCACTTGTCGCTAATATTGCATACTTTCAATGTCTTCGAATCGCGTGTGAAGTAAAATGGTCGGATGAAGGAGATCGATCGGATGTCACGCGACTGATTCTTCTCAGAAAAACAAATATCAGAAGAAAATCGAAGTTTCGCAAAGTCGTAACGAATCGACACATCCTATCCCCCCCCCCCCTCATTTGTCTTCCTTCTCTCGTCTTTGTTCATGTAAGGCTAATATCTTTTATGCAAACTTTTTGTTTCATCTATAATTATGGAATGTTAAGAAGGAGTGATGTTAGTCATCAAAATAATCCTGTACTTTAGCTACTAGATGTATTCCGTCTATAATGTTGTTAAACACGATTTGTTTTACACATTACCTGCTTGTCCACATTTGAAGGATCCATTCAATTTGTGGTGTAAAATATATGTCCAGGACAAAAATATTTTATTTGATAAATATGGACACATTAATATTAGATCCTGTATCTATTATATTTATTATTATTATGTAATTTTGAAAAATAATGACTATTGATTTATTGATATAATTTCGAAAAATAATAATTCTTTGATTATAAAATTATTTATTAATCGAATGTTTGTTTTTTGGAAGTCTTCGGCAAATATTTCAAGCTTTCATATTTTACATTCATTTTATATTTTGAAGTTTTGAAATAATATAAATTTTCTTTTAAATTATAGGTGGTATGGAATATTTGCAAAAGAACACTAAATCATTCCGATTACAAATAACAGATAATAATTAAATATTTGGCATATCATATATCTATTTTTGGCAATCGATTATTTAGAAAACAGTATTTAATTTCAACTTTTATTTGGTGTTGCACGTAAACAACCTGAAAAGGGAAAACTTGTTGCAAATATTGCAGTAATTTTACAATTATTGGTTTTTATTTTTAGTTTGTTTCACAATATACTTTCTGTGATAACATACACATTTACATGTATCGATTTACATTTAAAGTTTTTTTAGTAAAAATATATCACGTAGTATATATTTATGAATTACTGTATACACATAAATGTTTGGAACTAAATATTCATAAATATTTTTAGACACACACACACACACATTTTATATAAAATAACTTATCTAACTATATAATTATAATAAGATTATTCAATATTAATAGATATTAATATATTAATGCTACATTATTTTGTCATTTAGATTTTATTTATACGATATACAGGAGAGTTTGCGTTATTGATACAATCATAACAATTCTAAAGAAATACATAAATTAAAAATTAAAAAAAATACGCTAAATAATAATTACTGAAAATCATATTGAACTAAAATCGTTATAATTTTGAAAATTTTTTATCAGTAATTTATAAGATTAATTTTGTAACTACATCTCGTATGCGTGCCAGGGTTTCTCGATATCGCAATTTCAGCAAACAAAAAATATTGCGTGCGTGCATGTGTTGTGTAATTATGAGGCATATAATAAAGAAAATTGATGATGAAATGTGTAGAATTATATGCAAAATTTATAAAATAAATTTCGCACATAATTCTACACATTTATTTTATAATTTATTTTATACTTTTTGTACATGTTTATTTTATAATTTATTTTATAAATTTCACACATAATTTTACACATGTTATCATCAGTTTTCTTTCATTGCAAACTCAATGAACACGCGTGTGTTATATCGAACTTGATCGATTAAAAGTTTCTTCCTGCTGCATATGTTACAGTTGGCGGTATGAGCCGGCCATCCAAAGCCGTGACTCAAGCGAAGAAAGTAGCACCACCGGCTGTACCAGACGTGTTTCGACACTCGGGCTCCTCTTTTGGCTCGGCTGGATATGCTAGCAGCGAGGATAGCTGTTTCCTCTCTGGAAGTGGCCCCGGAGGTACGACGGACGATGGTTCCTACGGGATGCCATCTGGAAAAAGTCCGGGACCTATTTTTACCCATCCTGGCTTCGCCTTCCCGCCGGTGATTGGCAAATATGCCCACGCCGAAGATCAAGGTGCGAGATATATGATGATGAACGTACATTGTGTGGATCGTGAGATATTAGGCTTAATCTTTATTACGGAAAGTACAAAAGATATCAAATAACAACTGTGATATTGAACTTGCCATTTCGAGTAATTAAATTAACTTGTATTCCAATTAATGAAAATCATTTTGCCGTAGTTGAGTATAACAGGATTCGAGACAAAGTAAGGCTGTGTACAATATATTTGGACTACATCTTATTCTTGAGAACGTAGTAAAAAATTTTCTACGTGAAAATAATCCTTTTATATGTCAACTGTCAATCTTCTATCAATCTTCCTTTAACAGAGAGATATAATTTTTTTATTAAAATGCTGAAAATTTGATTACCGTAAATGTTGAACAATCGGTTATCAATGACCCTCACCAATATTTGCACTGCATGATTTATCGAAGTGTCCTACATTACTGGATTGCACTCACGTCCTTCGAATATGAGCATATATTCATGGCTGAGGAAAACCAGTTCAGATTTAAATTCATTATTTGTTATACTTTCGTGCCAAAATGTTCAATATAGACTCTTTCCTTCCATTATGTTTCCTTCCATCCATCTTCTATTACAGTTGTATTCTATCTGCTGTCTATTTTTGGTTCACTATGGCAAGAATTGATTTGTTCTCTGTGCACCGAAATTGAATCTCTCTCGGCACTACTTTATAATATTTATTATACGAATTGTATGACCAAATTTATTGTAATTGCTTATAACAAATAATGAAAAAATTTAAAAGACGTTTTTATATTTTCTTAATTTGTTTTTTTTCTACAACAGTATTTTCAAAAATCATATTCTAATTTTTGAATATTTGAGAAGGACGCAAATATAAATTAAGAAAGAATGAAAATAAGATTATATTAATGAAAAAAATTATATTAATTCAAAAGTATAATTACATTAGAAATCATATGTGATTATAGTAGACGAATTATTTTTTATATCGTTTAGGTATCGATATGACCCAGAGTCCCGGCAGGGACAGTCCTGGTAGTTCTGGATCAGGTTCAGGTTCTAGACATTCTACAGCATCGCTGGATTCAGGAAGAGCGTCCGGGTATCATTTGGGACCCAGGGGACCCGGTGCTCTTGCCTCGTCTCCTAGATGTTCTATCAGTTCCCTTGGAAGTCATCCCGATCGACCAGCAGATCTTGATGTCGTTCACGCTTGGTTAACCGAGCTCCAATTTGAAGAGTATTTTCCTTTGTTCGCTTCTGCAGGTTATGACCTTGCTACTATAACGCGTATGACACCAGAAGATCTCACAGCTATAGGTGAGTCGAGTATCGTAATAATAAATCTATATTCATATTGCGACACTTGCATCTACTTTCTTTTACACATGTTACATTACAGGTATTAAAAAACCCAATCACAGAAAACGGCTGAAAGCGGAGATAGACAATTTGAACATAGGAGATGGATTACCGGAGCATGTACCCGGATCGCTAGAAGAATGGCTCAGACTTCTTAGGCTCGAAGAATACCTTGGTGCTCTTCATCAGCAGGGCATGCGTTCCGTTGAGGACGTGACAACCCTTACTTGGGAGGATCTCGAGGACATTGGTATCGTACGCCTAGGACATCAAAAAAAATTATTACTGGCAATTAAGAGAGTTAAGGATATACGTGCCGGCAAGCGTATACAACCGCTTGATCTTGCACGTTTGCCGCCACATCCTGGACATACACAGGTAAGCCATACTCTATCGTTTTTATATATTAAATCCGTCAAGAAATTATAATCTCTCCTAATTGTTTCGGCATACATCGCGTGAGAGATTTTATACAATCAGAGAGATTATATTACAGCAATTGAATTTGTTTAGGACGTTGTTATTCAACGAGGTGGGCCTGATCTACCATCACCCGATGAAGACTGTTCCTCCCCTGTCCTCAGATCTTTTCAAAGAGGTGGGAATGATAGCACTTGCGGTGCTACTTGGAGAAGTATGTATGCTGCGCTTCCAGCTGATTATAGTACAGTCGGTCGTACTGGCTCTCGTGGAAAATCTTTGGAAAGCTTAGAGGACGCGCCTCTCGGTTATCCCCCGTCACCAGCCCCAGCCTCACATCCACAACCCCTCGAATGGCGTCCACGCAGTTTCGAGGATGGTGATCTTACACCCACGAATGATGCTTCCGCTGTAGACACCGGTGGTGGCGGCACTCTTCCACGACCAAGACATTGCCTCGTTCGCCCGCGACCGGTAGCCAAGGTATTAATTCAATCAACTTATGTAGCTCGATTAACTTATAAATATGTAAAAATATGTATGAATGTTTGCATGAGAAACAATTTATCTGTTCAAATTTGAATGGTTTCTACAATTGCATGAATTTTCCAGTATCCATTTATTATTACATATTACCGTATTGTACGTGTATGTATATATTTGTGATTTCAGGTCACTGCAACACCAGGACAATATAAATCTTTACCAAGAGATTTGGATAACAAGTACCAATTAACTTACGGACTGGAGAGTAGTCCGCACCTTCCGAAACGATGTCCTCCGTCGCCCCCGAGACGACAGAGTTCCAGAGACACAACCAGTTCTTCCATAGTAGGTACAGCGATCGGCGACGTTGTAATAGATTGTAGCGGACCGGTTCCGACTGCTTCCTGTGATGATCATCACATTCATCAGCATCATCATCAGCATCACCATTTGCTTCATCATCCACCGCCGCCACCACCGGCACCCACGCCTGCGCCTTCTACACCGCCACAATTGAATCGACCGCCTTCTTCCATGTCACGTTCATGGGGTAGCGTCAGCGTGAATGTTAACGAGGAACACGAATTAATCGCTACTCTCGCTCTGCAGCATCGCAATGGATCGGATGCTAGTTTTAAGGTAAGTTGATACTTGAAAAAATGTTACATTTACATTGAATACTTTTTCATCCATATATTTGTTATATATTTTATTTTTGTGATTGTACAGTCAAGTTCCAGTACAGAATCAGACTCATTGCCATTTGCCAATGAGAATGCCGGCACAATAAAGCAACGAGCCGGTCGAGCGCAAGAATACGTACCGAGTGGATCCAACAGCGGTATCGGCGGTCACGTAATTAATCATCATTCCAGCGGTGGCGAGCCTGCGGACGTTCTAAACGATATTGGAAATATGCTTGCCAATCTCACAGACGAACTCGATGCGATGCTCGAAGAGGAAAAGCGCCAAGGCCTGAACTCATAATTGTCACTGCCTTCATTTTCTAATTAATCAGAGTTGCCATAAAGAACATAAACTTGGCTCATCGTCACTGATATGCGAGATAAGATATTTACTTAGTGCAGGGTACATATTTGAGTACGAGTAAATGTAATTCCTGAGAGGAATCCATGAACGGATACGAATTTTGTCGAGAGATTTGAATACCTATTATCCTATAAGAATGTTAAAAACGGAAATACTTACCAACATATATAGATATATTGTACCTTTTTGTTGCATTTTACTTCAAGAGAAATGAGAGTGACATATATCACACTCTAAATCGAATATAATAATATTCGATTTTGTATTGTACAGATTAATGCACATGTATAACATATTTTCGTGTGATTTATACTTTGCTTCGATCATAGTTTCCTTCATCGTCTTTTCATTAAGAAGGAAAAATGCTTTTATATGGAAATATATCGGAGCAAATTCCAACACGTTTCCAGATGCAGCTATTCTACGATATTATCGCACAATCTTTAAGTGTCTTCTTTTGAAATAATTTTTTTGTAGTTCATATTTTTTGTTATTCCTTCTTTTTTTATGGACAATATTAGAAATGAGTGATATTGTAAACCATATCACTCTATTCTATCTGATAAATTAGCGCGAATATTTTCAAGAAGACGATGTACGAGATACTGGCATGGCAAAAGGGGAGGGGAATAAATTTTTTAAGACAAATACAGATATATTGAATGTAACCATGATTTGTACTACAAAGCATGTTGCACAAACAATTTGGTTTTCCAACATACATCTTCCATGTAAAACCAATCTTACAATTTATAACATGTACAAAAGTCTAATTCTTTTTTAGGAATTTGATTTTCAACATGTACATTCCAGTGACATTTTTCCATTTCCGTCCTTTTTTTTTTTGTTAAATCAATATATATATATATGATAGAAATCGAAATTTTTTATTCATAGCTTATTCAGTTATTAAAATAAGACAAATCATGTGTTTCATGTTTCATTATCCAAATGAAACAGCTCCGAATGTCAGAGAAATATATTATTTATAGAGAGATTGTTACAATGATAAAAAATAATCCTTGATTCTAATATAATTTTTGAAAAGGAATATTAGAAAGTATTAGTCACGCAATTTTTTTCCCTTCAACAAGAGTTCTATAAAAAAATATCACAGAATTTCAAGGCAATATGATTTAGTACAGGAAAGATATAAATAATGTATACTAACTAATTTATATTTATTATTCATACTAACGAATATAGAAACGTATAATTTATTAATTGTATGGTACATCCATATGTGCAGAAGCACTTGGAAAGTATTCATATGTATTAAATCAAAGTGAAATTGTAGCTGCAGAGACATTTTCGAGCGTCTTTGCTGTTCGAAAATATGTGTTACTGGTATGTTTTCAGATCTGAATGTAGTATTTTGCAAGGAGTTTTTATAAGATACTTTATGATATACGCGATATTGAAAATAATTGTACAACAAATTTTTCATCTATCTTTACAATAATAATGCTGTCGTAATGATGCAAACAGCAGAAATTAAGAATTCTTCGAGATAACATAAACAAGAAACTTGGTAACTTTTCATTTCAAAATACGCTACAAGAAAAATTTTTTTGTGTTATATGATTTTATTACGAGTACTTATACATCTACTTATAAGTCAATATCTATATGTACCACTTTGGTATGTATTAATACTCCCTGTGCAAAAAGTTTATGTCTCTATTTCCACTTTAAACGATCATTTTATATACCAGTTTGAATGATTGATAATGCAAAAATGCAAAGTTACGACAAAATATATAATTATATTATATCTCCTTTCCCCTATGTGCGACACGTTTTTAATCCTAAAAAGGGTCACGTGTTATTCATAATCGGATCCAATCGCGTTCCATAGATAAAGAACACGGAAGATATATGGATAACTTAACGTATACTTAGACTTAAAATTAATGGAAGAATAAAAGCTGCTGAGTGCAGAATACTAGAAAGAGCGAAAAAGAGATAAAATTGTCTTGTTAATTACTATAGGTATTACCCTATAGGTAATATAGGTGCATGCATGCGTGCGTGTGTTGTGTGCGTGCGTGCGTGCGTGTGTGCGTGAGTGTACGTTTTGTGTGTAGAACGCATAACATAACTTTATATATATATATATATATATATACACGTATATAAATATATACGGAATGTGTCTTAAAAAGACCAGATATTCTTTTAATAAATTATTAATTTACAATTATTTTTTTCTTAACAAAAATATTGAGAAAGAACAAGAGATTATTTTACATAATATAATACGACTCTTTTATGGCCAGTAATATGATATTTATAGTTAAAGTTCAAGTCAAAATATTGTTAAAAGTAAAAGATACTTGAGATATTACAATAGTTTATTCAATTAAAAACACAATCTGTTTCTTATTTTATTATGATATTCTATTAATAATTATATTTCTGCTTATAAAATATATTGTAAGCAGTTTAATATAATTTTGCAATTTCTTCTCCATTAACTCTGCTGGAGGAAATCCTTATATGAAAGCTCTTATTTATCTATTTACTCGTTATTTATGATTTTTTTACAATTAATATTAAGAATTTATTATAAAAATTCTCTTAATTAAAAAGAATATCTCGATATATATTTTTACTTTTCGATTTTTATGCAATTTTTAAAAATAAGATATTCAAATTCAAGATAAGTGAATTTTAATATAATTTTTCAAATGTGTAATATTTAAGATGATCACTATTGATTTCCAATGATTGTAGAGTGAACATTTTGCGTCATTAAAGAAAAATTTTTAACTTATTATTTATTGATACTATGCGAGTTTTTTATACAAGCTGGGAATTATAACTATGAAGATAAGTTCTACTTATAAAATTAATTGAAAATTTATTTTTATTTATTTTATGATTCTCTCCTTTGAAGTTTATTTAGCAGGAAATTCTTATTTTTCAATTACATGTAATTTGAAAATTATTCTATTCCAAGTTCATTTCAAATTGGCCAAAAGATATACATTGAAAGAATATCCGATCTCTTTAAGATATCTGAATATGTGCGTGTGTGTGTGTGTGTGTATGTGTGTACGTATGTATATACATTTAATAAGCAGTGAATTTAGGAGGGCATATTCCACGATGCCGCGCGCGAGCCTTTGAGCGAGATTAATCTGTTGTTTTTACAGATGAATAAAACGCATTCTAATCAGCCGCAATTTGACTGACGCGCAATTTGGCGCGAACGAGTTACGCACATTATAGATTTATATTGCCATTTGATACTTATAATACTACTACAGTAACGCAAATCACTCGGATACGAATCTTCGATCTACCGATTTTGTACTGTAAAATCTAAAATATTGTACAAATATTATTCATATTTAGCAGCTAATTCTTGCGTCTTGATTTAGAATTTAGTTTACGTACTTTATTTCGAATATATAAATGTTTGAGTTTTGTTTACATTTTAAGCGATATCAATAAAATGAATTATATCATCATATATATATAATATATATAATAACAGTTGCCTGTTGTATGTATAGGAAACTATAATTATTTTAAAAGTGGTGCAAATTAAGTCTCGAAAATTGTTATACAGGAACATATATAGATATATATATTACATTATTTTATTTAATCTTTGATAATCGCTGTCACATCGATTTATATATCTTCTTTTATACATCTTGCAATGTTATATTCAGATAATATGTTTCAGCTGTCCTGTTAGTTACAGCATCCAATAGTTGATTTAAATATGTAACATTTTGCGCAGGTCTTTAATGTTACGAGAGCAATTGTATAACAAAATATAACGAGAGTTAATCGCAATTCGCTAAATAAATCGTAAAATTCATTTCTTTCAAATTTATTGTGTTCCAATTACAGAGATTAATGTACGTGTATATGTACGATATATTTTATGCGATACCTTTTCATTAGTGAAAAAGGCATTATATAAACTCTTGCGAGTTATTGTTATTTAAACTTATATTAAATCCATTATATTCACATTGTAGTGAGTTAATACAAGATTTTGCCTTTTTGCATTAGCACGACAAATTGCCAGAAAGGTTGACTTGGCATTCGAATACTGAAAACTTCTTTACGATAACGTCCTTCCACGTACAAGAAAAAAAAATGTGATTTTCATTATCTTAAATAAATCTCTTCGCTTTTACATAGATGTAAATTAATAATCCTTTAGAGAAAAAGGATAAATAGAGCTTTTTTTTACAATATTTTCTAATGTTTCAGCTAATATGAATTCAAAGTTCGCGCTGGTTTGTAGACAGCTGATTGACAATTTGTTGAATACGTCACTTTGACACGATGTACAGATGCTACACATAAAGCATATTAATTAGTCATAGTTTTTGTACGCTATAATCTATAATGTCTCGCTCATAGCGAGCCTTCAATGCCCGCCTAAATTGCATTGTAAAACCCCCTTCTCCCTCTTTCATGGCTTAAACGCGCGTTGGATATGTTATTTGGTTTATCGATTAAGAGCAAGGGTGATTGATCTTTAAATAAAGCCAATGGACACACTTATTCGTCATTTTTCGATTTTTAGCACGAATTATTTTCCCTATCCGATACGAGATGTATGTGAAATTCGCATTCGGAGAAAAAAAGAAAATATGTACTTCGCATCGCATATACAATAATGTCGACGTACATACATAAATGTCCATTTCAATACGGGAAATATCTATATCTATGGCGAGCGTAAAGGACACTCTAAGAGGGTCGGAAAGATTTATAAGAGAACTCGCCTGTGCGTGGACGAGTCCACTTGTTAGTTAAATGCACCTTCCATTCCCCCTTTCTCCGTGTCGTCTTTACGTTCACCGCTTGTTCCCTCTCTTTCGGTCACCCTTTTCTCGTCCGCGCAGGAGTGTCATACAATGGTGTCAGATAGATAAAATCTTAAATTCCGGATATATAATATTAATAGTATATAATAGTAATATTAATAATATATATAATAGTAATATTAATAGTATATAACAGCAATATTATTAATATTACTATTATGTATTATTAATATTAACATTATTAATATTATTATTTATATTATTAATATTATATTAATAATATATAACAATAATATATAAATTCAAAACTCTGAAATATTATTGAATTTTCGGTCAATTTCTTTTCGATTAAATTGTTAAATGAAAGAACCTATTAATATTATTATTTATATTATTAATATTATATTAACAATATATAACAGTAATATATTCAAAACTCTGAAATATTGAATTTTCGGTAAATTTCTTTTCGATTGTTAAATGAAAAAACCTTGCAAACATTCGATTCAAATTTAAGGATTATTTTTTTTTTAATCAGAATGATCTCTCAAAATTTTTCTTTATCGGTCCCACTTCTCTCGACACCACTGTATATCATACTCATTCCGTCTCTCTCGCGCATTCACCGGACACCGACGTACCCTCGTCGGTGGGAGACGCGACGCGATTGGCGCTCGACGGTCGATGTGTTTGACGGGAGATTGTGTAGGTGCGGCGCGGCTACACGTCCCGACGTCCCATCCAGCAACAACAGAGTCAGTGGAGCCGCTAGCTTGGTGAGGATCGCTTCGTGGCTGTGCGTGCGTCACGTTCCTTCTCGCGAAACGGACAATGCGCGACTTGGACTTGGTTCCGAGCGAGGAGAACGGCCGCGCAAAAGGTACCGCGCTCTCGTGATTTCGACCCGAGCCAGCAGCATCGTCGCGACAGAGAGGTGCTTCCTGCGAGTGATTTTTTTTCGAACGCGGATACGCGCGCAGCCAGCTGGGAAATCTGCCGCGACCCCAATCAGGTTAAAAAGGCTCTCTCGCTTGATTTACCGTTCGTTGTGGTCAACGGGTGTACGCGCCGCCCACGCAAAAATATGTTTATCTCGGCGGTTTTACTCGGCTTTATCCTCGCACGCTCCGAGGACACCTGTCAATAATTTCAACGTACGCGAGAGTCGCGTATGTCCCCGCCTGTCGGCTTGCGCTTCTATTATTGTCGCGATAAAAATGCACTCTTGTACCCACTTTATTAAAAATTGTTATAAATATCACGTGAATAGAAAAGAACGAGAGAAAGAGAGAGAGAGCTTATTCTAGGCGACACGAAGCGATTTTGAATGACAAGATTTATTAAATGTTATTGTATACGTACAAAAAAAAGTATTCATATGTATACGTTATAAAAAAGATTCACGTTTGTGTGTCATATTCTATTAAAACTTAGAGATTCCAAATATGTTTTAGAACCCTTTTACGCGGATATCTGTGATGTAATATCATAAAGGAACGAAATTCCTTTGTTGCAAAAACTTTAACCGTTAGTAGGATGTTTTTATCGTTTTTAAAGAATATTTCGTCTTTCTCTGAAAAAATGAAGATCCATCTCGAGATTCTAAAAAGCGTTCTCGTTTCTTGCTCTCGAAAGTAACAGCTCCACTCTCTAAGAGTCCCGTTTGTGATACGAGTTTTATCCAGTTGTATCATTATCCGATTAAAGTTCAAAGTTCAATAGAGAATATAAGTTCCCCTCTCTCTTTCTGTCTCTTTATCTCATGTCAATAGAGAATAATGTTCTATTTTTTTCATTCTCCTTGATATTACATCGCGTCGCATATGTAATGACTCTTGCAAGGACTCGTTTTTCACGCATGGTCGATTAAAATAGAAATTGATAGACGAATCGGATTGATTCGATTCCATTGATTATTTGCGATCGCCATAAAAAATCTCTTTTTCTTTTCGATCTCTCTTTTTTCATCGTCGAAAAAGAACTCGTCCATGAAATTCGTTTTTTCATTCAATGATCACGATTCGATTAACAACTTTGATTTCGTTGAATTGATTTTATGAGAAAGTTAGCCTCTTTTTTTTAATTTCCATTGATTCGACGTTCAAAGAGAATTTTATTGTACGAAAAAAATTATAAGGTTTCGCTGAAACTTCAGTGATAGATATGGACATGTGTAGAGTGGTCATTACGTTACAATCGATCAAGAGAGAAATTCTATATAGAAAAGTAAATGAAAAATATGTGAAGCATTTCTTGCGCACAAAGCTTTGTTTTTAAAATTGTTTGAAAATTGAAAAATTAATTTTTCTATTTATTTTAGCTTAATCAAATCAATTTTCAATAACATATGTCCGAATATGAATAAAAATATAACATATTAAACAAAATATGAAAAAGGATTATATTAATATTTAATATTTTTCCAATTAACTTATTTTATATAATTTGAATTATTTTTATTATATTTATCAAAAATAAAATATTGAATTTTTTCAATTGATAATTATTATTGAAATACAAATAGAACGATTTATACAACGTAATAACAAGTTTCTTCATTCACAAGGGAAAGAATGTCATAAATATTTTTATTTTTTTCGGCTTTTTTAAAAAGTTTTTTGTATGAAGAAAATATTAAATTATATTTTATATTTTATTATTTTATATATAAAATAATTATATCAAAATTCATGTTATAAAGTGGTATAATTTCCACTTAGCCTTTAAAATTAAATTAGTTGCGAATAGTTAAAATATTATATTATGCAATAATTCAGTAACATTCTGTTGAAAGTTTCACACTGTGAATAACTAAAAAGAATAGAAAGAATTATAACGTTATCTAATAATATTATTTAATTTCCCATACATTTTATTTTTCTTATCTTCGTTTCTCTCTCGATGCAATCTTGATATTTCCTACATAAATCGAAAAAGCGTGAAGACAGAAAAAAAGCGTTCTTTCACATTAAAATTTTCGATAAACGATTATCGATAAAACACAAAAGCAAATGAAGCAATGCTAAATCGAGAAAGGCCAGCTCTCAAGCGCGCTTGAATCTACTTTCTCCCACGTGTGCTCTCAGGCGAATCGATCTAGTTGATGTGAACTTAAACGCTGTCGTTTAAAAGAGCATAGAGTAACATTATATTTACATGTATTACAACTATGATTCTGGTGGCATCGAAGCGATTTTTAATTTTAGATCGCGCGGAAGCAGATGACCGGTTTCGAAGGAACGTGCGCGAAGAATTTCCTCGCATTACAAGAAAATTCACATCGTAATGGCAAGAACTAACTCTTTATCCGCTTACGATGCCACTCTCATGCGAGTGAACGGAATACCGTAGGTTCGCGGAGATTGCATTAGGAGTGTACGTTGGAGCGAACGGTTACTTGTTGCGGAGACTGGATGTAGGATTTCGCGATGAACCGGCTTTGTTTCGGATAACAATATTATATTACAGGTTATAACAAGTATACGTACATTGCCAATGTTCATTTGCATTTGTTTAATTGCGATCATCATACTTGAGCTTATCTCATAAATCTCATAATTGCATATATAACTCGCGTTAATAGATGAAAAAAGCGAGAGGAGAGAAACTTTGAGTATGTCAATTGCAATTAAGCACCGTCAAGCATCGGTGATTTGTTTTCAACGGGGCAAATCAGGAGAGAGGAGCCTTTTCTCATCTTGACTTATATCGTTAGAGATGGAGATCAACGCGAGCCAGGTGATGCAGAGATAAAAGAGAATGGGAGTCGTGTCGTAAAAACGGACGAGACGAGAGAGAGAACGGGAAAATGGATTGATGGTGGAAAAGAGGAACTTGGAAGTGAAAAGAGGAGAGCTTGGTTAAAAAGTTATCAGCTGAGATCGACGAAAAACGTGTCGAAAGACATCCGGAAAAAATTAAGTCAGGACGAGAGTGAAGATTACGCAAAGTGCGCGAAACAGAAAAATATATATGTGTACATTTTATACCGAGGAGCGCGGACACACACGTATACACACATACCAATGATCAAGACCGTATGATGGCCGAGGTTTTGCCCGAGAATGTCCCGAGGCCTGTGAGCATCGTCGCCGTTGATGTTACTCCCGACATCAGGAACGACGCGAACAGAACACAGGTACCGTTTCAATTCTTCTTTTGACATTATATGCTCGCGCGCAATCATCTAGTCACTGAAAAAAAAATCACCGTTCGCTCAATTATTCACATGTACATATATTCGCGGATTTGAGATATCGTTTTATCTATTACTGGAATATATTATGCGCTAATATTTTCTCCTTTATATATTTTTTTTTTTTTTATTAAAAAACAAAATTTTTTATTAATCTATATCAAATTGCATACATATGTATTTCAAGGAAGATACAACATGTCCTATTTTTTTGGGCGTTTCATCAATATTTTCTGCTAAATTTAATCGCGAAGAGAGCAATCGATTTTTTAAATTACGTAATATGAATTACATTCATTACAAGTGTGACTTTGTTTACATTCATTGAAGGAGAAGCCAAACTTTCAATGTTTAAGGAAGTATATTTTTCAATCCTAAATATACAGTGAAAAGTGAGGAAAATAATTTTTCCTCAGATTTTTAATAGTAGCTGTTAAATCTCTCCCAGCTGGTTAAGACAAAAATGATTCTCAAAAATTATGATCAAATATAATTCAAAGAAAAAGACTTTAATTTTATGTAACAGAACTTATTTTCTGTGGGAGAAAAAAAACATGGAAAACCAGAGATTTCTTTTATATCTGGAAAAATCAGAAAAGTTCCATAGAATTTTACTGGGAATTTATTATCAGGAAATATTTTAAAAAAAGTTCTTTTTTTAATAACTTTGCATATTACAGTCAGCAAGTCAAGTAAATTATTTAAGATATATTACTTAAAATATATTATTAATATATATCTATTTTTGTTTATATATTTTATGTCTTTGAACATTTATTAAATGCAGTAAATATTAGTTTTAGCAATAAAAATATAGTTTTAGTGATAAATAAAAATGTATATATATGCAAAATATTTATATCTTATTCAAATATTGTTAAGTTTTTTCAATACATTTGCAAATCTAGCACTTGAAATTTAAGAGGCTTTGTGTTTTTCTTTTATAACAATGTAGAGCATGCAATAAAAAAAATTTATTTTAGAAAGTTGCATAAAAAAAAAATCTTTAACATACACATTCTCTTTACTCAATTATTTAACACAAAAATACCTGAATCAAGAAATACTTTTACGAAGATTTGAAAGAATGTATAATTCTGTAATTTATATTTCTGTATAATTCTCGAATTTATCAATCTTATTTCCTCGAAAACAAAGTTTCGAAAGAAGACTCGTTTCACATTTTCAATTCATTCTTTTATGCGGACACTCGTTTATTTTTTATTTCCGATTGTAAATATAGAAAAAATTTGTATCTACTCATCCAATATTCATAATACATTCCTATACGTCCCTTTATAAGCTGCTCGGGAATGATCGTAATCTTTCAAGCAGGAAACGAAGGTGTCCATTTTCCAGAAACTATGTGAGCGGTTGGCCAAAGATGAGGACAAGACGAGAATAAGAGCGAGCGAGGTAGAATGATATTTTCAAGTCAGCTATTTTAGCATCAGATAAGAGTTCGAGACTCCCTCATTCAAGGAGAAAAGGGAGAAGAGAGAGTCGTTACCTTATAAACGAGAAAAAAATCGTTCTACTCGAATTCCAAGACACCCACCCATCACGATTCAATTGATGCGTTGAAATTCACAGTCTATTTGCATTTCAGGAAGCAACACGGGACAATGCACGGTCTTTCACTTCGACGGAGGCGCAGACCGAGCTGGCGCTTCACGGTGGACCAGAAGCGAGTCAGAGCGAGGAGATTCCCAATGGCATCCGAGACGCTCGAAGGCGAGAACGACGATTACGAAGGCAGCATCGTCGCGCTCTGAGATCCTGTTCCATGCCGACGACGTATCCTGGAACCGCGCCAGGTTGTCAGACAGCTTCAACCGCGCTGGGAGTTCCATTGGTGCCACCCCCTAGAGGTTTCCTTCATCCTCCTCCCCCACACTTGGGTCTTAGAGGCCTGAGCCTCGGTCTACCCTTTCCTGTACCCGCCAGCGTCTCTGCTTTCGGCAGGTGAGATGCGATTATTTTCGTTTCTTTCTTCCGCAAGAGATGTTACATTTTATGGCTGTATTTAATTCACTATCTGAAAAATAAATGTAAAGTTAACGAGTAAATAATATATTAAAATATGAAAATAATAGGTAAAAATGTAGCTTTAAATTTTCTAATTAACTATATGCGATGCACAGATATACAGTCATGTCTAATTCGAAGATACATCACATTTGCAAACTATATGGTCGAATACAGTTTTACAACTGGCCTTGTATAGTGAACGCGCACCAAACGATCGTCACGAGACGAGTGTATGTCAGTGGGTCACTCAACGATCACTTCTTGTGTCACAGAGATGCGGTACCGAAACAGTGCTGCGGCTTAAGTTCCCCGCCTGTACGCTGGTCCATATTGGGTGTCGGTTTCGTAGGCCTCGTTTGCGCCGGTGCTGGCACTCTCCTAGGCGCTCTTAAAGCTTCCGGTCGTGATCACCTCGTGGGAATATTCATGTCCGGTAAAGAAACACATTTCTTTTATTCGAGATTATCGATGCAAGATTGTAATAATAAGAAGATACAATATCTTATAATGAAACTTACCAATCTTATTAAGAAGAAAAACTACAATTCATAAGTGTGTGATTATGCGATTAAAAAAATTTTATTTTATTCATAATGCATTCTTCCTCAGCGTATAAATGACACAGTCAACCAGCGACTGGAACGATTTGTGAAGGTACTACCTCGATCTGAGAGAAAATCTTACAAGGAATCTTTGTATAATCATAGCCTTTTATATTTTCATGTAAAGCAAATTTATATTTTTAAGTAATTTATCTTTATATTTATGATTTCATAAAAATTTTTATACGCGAGAGATCGAGATTATAATCGAGAGATTATAAATTCAAAAATTATATGATTCTACCGAAATGATTTTATTCGGAACTGAAGTTATTATACATTCAATCTCAAAAACGTTTAGCACTGTTGCTGTAAATTTTCAGTGTCTTCAAAAGATCTTTCTTTTAGCGAAGATTTCAATTTTTTCAAAGTTAAAAAAATAAGTATGCATATACTCGCTTAGTCGCAATATTTTTTTACTTAGCGATTATTTTTGTCCTTGAATTTTTTTAAAATATAGATTTATTTATGTAGAGGTAGAGTTGCGGAAAAGAAACATATATACCTTATCTATAAGGTTTTGAAATTGATGGTAAAAAATATAATTTAAACAATCATTATCACTCAATGTAGAGTACTAAGTGCTAGGACCAACCGAATGCACGTGATGACAGAGTCTAGCGAAGGACAAAAGGAGAGGGAACAGGGAAACTCGAGTTTGCAACAGTTACTTTCTAAACGTGAGCATGTAACCTGCGACCTGCTCAGAATGCCTCTCACAATAGGGGAATGCTCTAACCTACAGAGAGATCGATGTCGTACGCCTTGCCTTATACATGTGGAGGTGGAGGGACCGTGAGATCAAAGGAGAGACGTATCCGTAGATGGATCGGAGAAGCAGATACCGCTGCTTGTTAGCTAGATAAACATTGCAATTTGTCATTTTTTTATTACTTTCACTTAAAAACCAGAAACTGTAGCTTATAAATATTTCAATTGCTTAAATCAACTATAAACGGACGGATGTGAAGATTCTAGATTACTTTGTATTGTAATTATAAAATAAAAGCTATTACGTAGTATCATAATAGTATTACATAAGTATTATTATTATTACAATGTACAAACAGTATGCATTGTCTGTTATAGGTATAGGAGTGCTTCTGGTGTTGGTGAGCGCAGTAGCATGGCGATTGACTAATCAAGACTACTGTGGCAGCTTCTTTGGTTTCACAGGCATTCCCGGTAGGATACCGCCTATGAGACCAATACATCCATACGCAGCTATGCTCTATCCAGAATTCCAATTTAGAACCCCACCACCGAGTTACCAGGTGAGATAAGCATATAGTAGGATAAAATCTATAAAAAAATATCTCAAAAAACTCAAATTCAATTTTTTACTTTAATTTCTGATTATTGTTTTTTCAATTAAATAATGTAGTGATATGAAAATTAATAATTTACATATGTTTTTTAAAATAACGTCATAAAGATGTATACAAATTAGGCACTTTGTATCACAGAGTCATTCAAACATTTGACTCTTCTTTCATCTGAATACTTGGCACATATACATACATTTGAAATTCGAGATTATTGCTTTTGTTTGCTAATCTTGAAAAAATTTATACAATATAAATTATTCATTACAGGCTAGTATGCAAGAGTATAGGCTTCGGCTGTTATTGTTGGACCGACTGCAACCTACAACGTCACCACCACCGACTTATAGATCAAACGCAGGAAGTATCGCGGCTCCTGGTACAATGAGGGAGAGTCGACCGCCGAGTTACTGCACTGAAACGAATGTCACGCCGAATGCTACTCTAGTACCTTCAAAGAAGGACGTGAATCTTGTTAGAATTGTTCAAACTGAATCCGAGCCAGTTATCCTCAGTGGTGATCAAACACCACCTATAGCCGCTGTCGAAGTACTGGCACATCTTTAGATTCCGAGCAAAAAATACATGTACATACATCATACATTTGGCCATTTTCATAAAGTCTAAAGTGATTATGATGATGCATCTGAAAAAATGATGTAACCGTGTAAATTATAATTGTGAAAAAAGAATGAAAATACTTTAGACGCCATGTATGCCTTCACACCTCAACTACTAGGTCGAATACACATCATATGTAGATATTCTTTCATCATGACACAAATCTATATGCAATTGAATACTTGATGTATATATATTTAGGCCTACATGTAAAACGAAGAAATTCATACTATAATTTTTAATTAAGGATAATTATATTTTATATTTATTTTACATATATATAAACGAATGTCAAGTTAATTTAGAATATTACATTTCAATACATTTTTCAAAGAGATATCTAATAGAAAAATGTAGTTAGATCTTTTTGTATATTCATAATTTTAATTACTTAAATTCAAGCTACAAATTTTCATTAATCACATTCAATTCCAAGGTAGGCGTAACATTTGCCTGAGTTTCTGTAGAATTCGCTTTGCCTTTTTTCGTTCTTTTATTAATCGTTTTATTAGTCTTTAATTTAATGCCATGTTTCCGTTTCCGTGGAAGCGATGTTGGATCTATAATAAAAAGGTATATGTAATTTTATTCTTGATATATGTAACATAGTGTTAATGAAGTTGAAACAAGTACATACGGTCCTCAGGAATGTTCATCTTCTTTCTCAGAACAGCACGCACTTGTTTGTTTAAAATTTCTCTGCATTGTACATCAAAACCAAATGGCAACCATCCTCTCTTCTCATGACATTTTATATCAGGTAAAGGATCAGGGAGCTTTGCCAACATTTCTTGTATTTCTTCTATTAAAACGTCGCAATACTAATAACAAAATAAATAAAGATAATAATTTTATTTATTATACGAAGTATTTTCATTATCAATACTGCAAAGAAAGATATTAACAAATACCTGATAAAACATTTGCCGGGAAGGAGGTACCATGCCTTCCCGGTATATATACACGTTCTCATGTAAATGACGTTCTTTCTTCGGTTTTTGTTTCTGACTCAAAGTAGCAGTGAGTACAGCAGGTTTTTGTTTAGAAACAGGTGCAGATTTGTATGGTAATGTATAATTTGAATAATTTCTTTTGCATCTGACAGTTGAACCTAATCCATCTATAAAATCATACACAGAAATTTTAATCGTTTTTAAAAAAGTATTGTTATATTGCTTATGTGAAATATTGAACACTTTTAGCAATTAAAAGATATATAACTTACGCATAGCTTTTAATCTATAATCTAATGTCTGATACTTTCTCGCATTAATATCTTCCCTTGGATCGTAACCAAGTTTTACCCACATGATTCTCCATGGTCCAGTCGTAAAATGATACGCTACTGCTGGTAATAATATTTTCAACTGTTCAGATGTAAATTGTGTTTTATACATAATGGCATTTTTGGACCAAATTGGACGCTCCTCAAAAAGTTGGCGCACTTGTTCTAAATGTGCATTCTGAAGAAACTTTACTTTCATGGCTGTTTCAATGCCTATTGGTGCTGCAGTGGGCACTCCTACTGTAGAAAAGTATATATAGTTGGGAAAGCCTGCTTGACATTTCTTGTTTTTACCAATTATATTCTCTAAATTAGAATCTATCTCAATTTTTGGTACATATTGTTGCACAGTGTCCATTCTACTGAATGCGGCTGGTGGCAAAAAGTAGGGCACGTCATTCTTCAACCAAGAATAAGGTGGAATACCTATCGGATAAATCAAATTATAGATGCACTCCAATTTTTTTGGATCTGATTTGCTCTGTGTCATTGGTACATATTGAAAATCACATAAATCTACAAGAGAAAAGAAATATTAATATGCTGAATAAGAGGATTAAAATCATTATACAGATGTTTTACATAATTTATTACAAAACATACTGGTAAATTTAAATTCAGTTTCAACTCTTCCTAATATTTTTAAACATGGCAATTCATAATCTGTTTCTTGGGACAAATTTTCATATCTACTATTGTCAAAAGTAGGCAATACATTCCTTTTTTCTTTTGGAGAATTTTCATTTTCATGTGTACCATCTAACTTGTTTATATTATCTACAGTACAATTTTTCTCTGCAGTATTTTCAATATTAGCAGTATCTGTGCACTTTGATTTTGTAGCTTCCGTCATTTCTACTTTTATTATTCTTTTTTTTTTCATCCTAACTCTAAGTAAAAAACCAATTGTGCTGTGCCTATCTCCACAGGTAGGTTTGCTATATCCATCATCAGGTCTGAATCTTAATTCTAATCTTCTATTAGAGGCATCTGCAGTCTGTTAAATGACCAAATGTATATAATTGAATAATTGAATTTTAATGTAATTAATTGGATATAATGTTTAATTTGTATCATATACCATAGAAATAGAACTAATGCCTCCTAATGTTTCGATTGCTTTATCAACGTTAACTACATTACCCGGGTAATTAATGCATATGAGCTTCTTATCAAATTTGTGTCCAGAAATTACCGGGCCTGCATACTGGTCATCCTGTTGATTCGTCTGTATCTATAAGAGGATATTCTGAATAAATCTTTAATTAGTCTTCAATTTAATTCGCTCATCTCAGACTTTGATAAAATACTCTCATTCAAGTTTTGTATCACAGATTTCTTTTAACCTTAAATTATATTTTCTCCAAATATAATTATAAAATTGCTGTTTTTATGCAAAACGATTCGAAATGTGAGTGCATTTACAGCAAAATCTGAGTCAGTTAAATTAAATATTTATCCTTGCATTATTCTCCGGTAATTCGATAAAGGAATCATCGCTATCCATTTCTTGTCCTTTAAAGTCAGAGCTGTTAAGAGCTGTCAAATTCAAGACACAAACACGAGCGCAGAGAGAAGACTGAGAGATGTCATGGCCCGCTTTTAGGTGGGTGATTCCTCGAATGCTCCCTCTGTGGACACTGAAACATAGACATGAACTACAAAACCAATGTCCACGAATGTTCTCAGAGGGTAATATATATGTTCCTCTGATAATATAAATAATATAAATATAAATAAAAAAATAAATAATTTAATTAACAATAATTTATTATATAAAAATATTAGTATGTTCTCTCTTTTCACGCTATTATTTATTTATTTATTTATGTATCTTCTTTTTCTTTTCCTCAACATTATTTATTTATTTATTTATTTAGTTCGCTCTAAGTCAATCTTTTAAAATGCAAAACTAAATATTGTATTATAAAATTTGATTTCGGAAAAACGCGGTAAAACAATCGAATAAATTCAAATCATTAGCATAACAAAAGGTACCATGATACATCAATCATTTAATAATTAATTTAAAATAAAATATATATCTCTATAATTTAAAATTCCGTGTGTACGTAAAATATTTCGGCAGAGAATCATCAATAATACTATGTTTGACCTTGGCGACGTATATCAAGCGCGTTATACATGTCATGGCTTTGTCATCATTCGCACGATGGCTCTTGAGTAATAAAGTAGATGAAAAACGCTTTGTATATTGTAATTTTTGTATTAAACACGATTAAAAGTATTGAAACATAATTTGTTATAAATATTAATAATTAAAAATTAATTAACTTTTGATAAACGACATGAAACTGTATCGCAACGATAAATATTTATCGAATCGCAGTAATTATTTATCACTGCGAATAAAAATTGAAACAGGGAATACATGAAAGGGGACAAAAGAATTAAATATATTACGAAAACTAAAAACCGAGAAAGGTTAACGGTCCGCATAGTAATAATACAAATTTGAATACGAAAAGGCTTAGGACCGTGGCGTATAGGGTGGTAGTATGAAATGACAATTACGAATTAATAACGCTAACAATAAGACAAATTCATTTCTTTTAACGTGCTTTGACCGTTTGAATATTAGGGAGACCTATTTTTGGATTATAACTTTCAATTTATCACTACGACTTTTCTATGAACATCTTTAATTTTTTAATTTTTATCTTTTGGACGGATTCATCGAGGGAATTAAAAACTCAAGTGCGTTCCCTCTCTGATTTCATTTATAGCGCTTTAAGTCTTGATATTGAGGTGAGCTTTGCTCTCTTGCAACATTTTATAGTCTTTATTATGTTTTGCTTGATTTTTTATTCAAATTTACGTTTTCCATCAAGCGTAATTCCGACCGTTATTTCATGCGTTTAAATATTTTGTAACTATTGTTAAGGTTCTCATGACCTTCTTTTGTATTAATCTTTGCGTTTATTTTTATAATTTTATAATTTTGTATGACATTGAAAAGGATTTGTAGAAGATCGAAATATACATTTTTCGTTTAAATATATTTGAATAATTTTTTGCTCTGACAGACTTTTCATTATTAAATTATTCTTTAACATCAGTTGATTTGTCTTAGCGTTATTAATTCGTAATTGTCATTTCGTACAACCACCCTACGTCACGGTTCTAAGTCTTTTTTTTTCAAATTTGTAAATATATTATGATCTTTTGATCATCGATGCTTATTATAATATTTCTTCAACAATATTAGAATTAAATATATTTCGACCAATGCTTTAAATTTTCTCAATCCTAGTTAATTAAACAATATACAATTTAATCGAGAATCGATTTAATGTGTTAGGAATCCAACATATTAAATAATCACATCGATGTTTGCAATCTTTACGGACAATAATTATTATTTTAATATTTAGAGTCACAAATATATTCCATCCGTGTTACTTTATCAATCTTTGACAATCTCAATATAATTTAGATTGTGAGAGAACACAAAGTAAAACAATCGAATTATAGACGCAAATAATTAGCATAACGAAAGACTTCGTGATAAATCAGAGTAATGAATTCAGAGTGATAAATAGTTTAATAAATAATCAATTAATCTTAATCAATAAATTAAAATACTTTCATAATTTAATATTCCTCGCGCTAATATTTTATATTACAGAAACGTATATTTCGGCAATAAGAGAATTCAATAACACCGTGTTCGACCTTGATAAACAGTAGCGCGCTATTGTTAATGTTACGTGGCTTTATTATCATTCGCACAGTGACTTTGAATAGTGACGTGGGAGACGTTTCACGTATTATCAAATTCTTTCTTACATAGTCAACCTTGACGGTACAAACAATACCGTGATAATGTTTCTGACCTACGATCATTTGCTCGTTGGCTCTTGAGCAATGAAGTAGTGATGTGAGACATATCATATATTATCAAATTTTTTCTCTGAACATATTTAAAAGTGCAACAAGAAACTTTTCGTGAATGAGTGTAAGTGCAACGAGGAATTCAAATGATTGCAACGAGGATTGAAGTGCCACGAGGAAAAAACGAAGGAAGCAAAAGAAAAAAGGAGGTTTTGGAAATGGATGGACCAATGAGATATGATGTGAGTCGTTAATATAAATTATTTATCACATACATTATTTATTATATTGTTGTGTCCCCGCTCCCCGTCCCGCTGTATTCCTCACCCGTTGAATTCTTTCGAAGAAGATCGTTTCCGCGCGCGTTGCCAAGATATTGTTATAAACAACCACTGTCAAAGAGTCTGAGCCCAGCTGTCAAGTTATACGGACGTGCGTCTATTTGTGATTTATTTTACGATTATTCTGAATTCTTGTATGTTACTCGGTCTATTAAAATTCTTGTACATCTTAAATCGCGTTATTATTTACGAGTGCACGAATGTCAGCGTATGTCGATTGTGTCGCGCACGTTCGATATATATCGCGATTTATAACATGAAAATATATCTATTTAAAAGTAAAAATTAATTGCGCGCAATAATTAGTTTTATAATCAATTATTTTGAACATTGCTTTATATAATAGATTTTCTTTTATCTTTTATATTTTTATTTATTGTTTATATCTGCGAATTTAAATTTGTATACTACATTACAAAATAAATTTCAAATTATGTATTATATTATATATAAAATTATATATAATATAACCCTCCCATGGGGTACACCTTGTCGCGGTGGGAGGGCTTATTACCTGGACGGTGCCTTAAGGTTTATCTTAAATTTTCCAATTTTTGATAAATCTTAAGATGCCTGAATGGGAAGCTAAGTACCCTTTCGCGTCGTCGGTGCCGTCAACGTGTCGCGGACGGCAAGCGCTTCGTTACCGCGTTTTCGCGTTGTCGCGTTTTCCGAAACCGGGAGTGTCGTACAAAGTATATATATATTAAATATATACAGGCTACCAAAATTTTTAATCGCATCGAAATAGTGCGGGAGTGCCGTTTAGTATCGCGCGTAAAATAACGAAAATAGCGACATAAAAATATCGCTCGCGAGTGCGGGAGTGTCGTTAAAAGTTCGCGCGCCAACAACATGAGAGGAAGAGGAGGCCTGGGAGAGGCATCTTGCATCGGCGGAGCAACCTGATGGTGAATATTTGTTATTTATATATCAATTGGTATAAATTGTACGGATAATAATTCGGTCTTATTATTTAAATGAATTAAAGAGAATAAAGAAAAAGATTTTTATAAAAGTCATATAAAACTTTCTATTTAAAGAACCGTCTTACAAATTTATAAAATTTTTTCCAACAACATGTGTTTATCTTGCTTAATTATTTCTCATTAATTTGTATATAAAATTCGAAGGATAAAAATTTTTTGAAATATTAATTGCATTTTCCGAACATTATTATAAATGAATTTTATATTTGTATGTTATAGACAACGTAGCTTCGATAACTCCGCTGTTGCGCATCAGTGCCGGTGAGTGAGAAAAACTTTTATTTAACTTTAAGGTAACGGATTCGTAGAAATTGCAGATGTAGATGAAGATTATAGATTGTAGATAAATCCGTTGCCTTAAAATGGATGAGCTAGGGTAGATTAAATTAAATAAATTAAATAAATTAAATTAAATAATTAAATTAAATTAATTAAATTAAATAATTTTAATAAGTTTTTTTGACTTATGCTTTACATCTATTGCGAAAATATATTAAAATATTAATTAAAAAAAGAAGAGATCAAGAAAACATTTTTTTTTAAGATTTTGTCTAATTTATTAAATGAAGGACACCCATTAACAATTATCAATTTTATCAATTTTTGATGCTACTTTATTTTTATAACGCGCACTTATTTTATTCTAATTTCTTATAGCTCATCCATCATAGAATTTGTTTGTAGATATTGTTTTTAAACTTTATTTTAACTTAATATAAAGCCAAATGATTAATTAACTAAATAATTTGTAATATGATAAAAGTTATACACACACATGAATTTTATATTTTATTAGAAAATATAATATACAGAAATTTGTAGTAATTTGGCTTTATTTGAGTTAAAATAAAATTATATTCAAATATTTAACGAACGATCGTAAAATCGAGCGATCTCGTTACGATGAGCGTGAAATATTTACGCTCATTTCCCGGTAATTAATCGTCAAAATAAGGAGTGTTTGTCTCCTTTTTCGATCTCTGATTAAAGATCAAATGAAAGTGGCCAGGATTAATGAAAATTAAGTTCAACTAGCCTGAAGAAAAGCTTTACGTATACTGAGGAAAAAATTATCTTAAAATAAAAATTTTAATTAACTGAAGAAAGCTATTCGGTGGGTACTAATCACGTATTTACTTCTACTCAAAACGTCTGTTTGCTTAAGTTAGGTATTTATTTACATATGTTTAAATAAATATAATTTTTAATTTAATATTTTTATATTTTAATTTTACAAAATATTTATTAAAATGCATTTATTACCAAAAATTTTAAATTTTTTAATTTTAAAAATTAATATATTTAATATAATAAATTATAGTATATATTTTATGAAAATGGTATTTAAATATAAATGAAAATAATATACAATACTTAATAACATGCATATTTAATTAAAATTAAATGCTTTTGCTAAATGAAATAAACAATTCCTTCTATTTAGAGCAAAAGTTTCAAGAAAATAAATTTATTTGATTTAAAAAAATTTTTTCCTCAGTGTAGAATAGTACGTCGGACATTTATTCACGCGGTTAGGGCACGTGGATAGAAAATGTGATAAGGAGGTCACTAATTAAAATATATGTGTAACATTCATGGACATTGGCTTTGTAGTTCATGTTCATGTTTTCAATGTCGATAGAGAGCGTATTGTTTTCAGGGATCATATAAAGCGGGCCATGACATCTCTCACAATCAATCTTCTCTCTGACAAGACAGAGTGTTCATGAATTTTCTCAGAGGGTAACATATAATGTGCACAATTTCTGGTTAAAAATTTATTAACATTTTAAAATCGTAAATTATTATTTTAATAGTAGATTGTGTAAAGTTATATTATGGATATTATGCCATTTTAACAAAAATGTCAGGTAGTATATTCAAATAAAATTATTTTTTTTATCTTTACATATTTATGATGCATAAATATTTGAAGATAAAGAAATATAGGCATAAAGAACATCTTTTATCTGTTATTTTTTAAAATCAAGTTTGAAGAAAAAAGAAAATATTGCTGATATATTGTCATATAAAATTATGTATCTAATTATTATACATAGAATATTGTATAATCTGTTTAATAAAAAGAAAATGATAGAATCGCGCATTATATTATATAACATGTATCGAAAAAAGTTCGATACATAATTATATGTATATATATATATATATATATATATATATATATATAATTTTTTTATTAGTTAATTATATATTACTTATAGATATATTTTTCTTCTCATTGTCAGATTATATAACATAGTAAAAGGAATTAAATGGCACGCACTTTGTTATGTTCTAATTTAATAATAGAGAGAGCGATGTATAATACAAATCTAAAAAAATGTTTGCAATTTATCTAATATATATTTCAATGTATATCCTTTTTTATTACAGTATTTTTAAATTCTTTCTAGAAATAGTGGCGGCGGATTAATAATAAAGGGATAGTAACAAAATGAATCGATCGTGTTTCTATATTTTTATTGTGTGTATGTATTATAGTTTATAAAGACACATGTAACATTGAACGTAAAATATAGAGCCCTTTTCATTTTAATCGTTAAATGCAGACAACGTAAAATACATAGACGGAGATATAAATATCTTATAATTAAAAATGATTTTATACGACATATAAGTTATATGATCTAAAGATCAAATAAATTTTTACGGTAATTAGTGAAGGAGAAATATAAATATTTTGTCATATTTTGTTTGAGATTAATCTATTCAGAGTATTTCATAAACAAATATTTTTTTATTATCTGTAATAATACTATGTATTATTAAAATTTAATTTTACAGTTTTAGCGCCTCCAAAAAATAATTAAGAAAGCTTTTTATATAAGATATAATAATATGTATATAATAATTATAAATCTGGTATGTTTGTATAAAATCTAGAAATGTTTTTCTCTTTCTGAATTTATATATATATATATATATATATATATATATATATATATAAGAAAATATCTTATTTATGTGAGAGAGAAAGAGAGAGAGAGAGAGAGAGAGAGAGAGAGAGAGAGAGAGAGAGAAAATAAGGAAAACTATATTCTATTTGATAAATTAAAATTTTAATGCAAGTTTTTTTATAATCTTATTTTAAACTATTATTTTGAATATAATTATATTTAATATGAGCTTTTAGAGAAATTTTGATTAATTTAATTCTCTAATAAGCACATATTTATGTATGTTAAGTATATCTGAATAAATTAACTATATGCTTTAATGTTTAAAAGAATTACCGATTTAAAAGAATACGAAATAAATAAACTTATATTTATAAATTTAAATTTTTTTTCCTTCAAAAATTAATTTATGAAGTTTCCATTTTCATTCTAATATATATATATGTATCTTTCTAATATATAAGTATCGTTTTGTATTTAAATATTGCTATGTTTATACAGCATCAAATATCAAATTGATTCTCGAAATGAGAATCTATTATAGATGTGTGCGAAATGCAACAATCTATTAGCGATGATAAAAACATTATTATAAATTGTCTCATTTAATAACTAACAAATCGCACAAATCCGCCCGCGGATTGAGTTATAAAACAAATTGTGTTTAATCGATTATCTCGATACTTTCATCAGGTACAGTTTCTTCTTGCGCATGATCCCTTAAATGTTGTTACATTCATTACATAAGGCTTTTCTGTCTATTACTATTAGCATATTAATCATAACGTTGTACGTAACGATGTAACGTTATATCATATATTTTTCTAACAAATATTATTTAATATATATTTTTGTTGTCAAATATAAAAAACGAATTAAGTTACATTTGAAATTAATAAAAAGATGTGAAATATAACTTATTTTGCTTTCGTAAAAAATTTCTTTTTTTAACATACTAAATTTTATATTTACTTTAACTGACTTTAACAACACATACGTAAACAACATCCAAAAAACGTCCGGAGCAAAATGCATATTTAAAAGACATTTCTTCTAATGAAATATCTATGAATTATATTGAAACTTTCATATTTAATTTTTAATAATGGAATTCTGAAAATTAATCTATTTATACTTGACAAAAAGAATACATATTACATAAGTATATAATTTTATAGATTGAATCATATATATTAATCGCTTGTAACATGACATAGCAATATAAAGAATATATTATTATTTAAAATATAACGAATAGATTAATTTGCATACATATATCTTGTCATATGAGATATGAGACGCTTTAATACAAGTCATATTTAAGCAACCATTTTGTCGTTTATGACGTAATACTCAAATATTTTAGCTAATTTATATTTGGCAATTAATATTTACTATATGTGTGTGTACCTCATAAATATTATTACTCAATAAAATTTATAAAATATTATATTTTTACGTGTAATATATTACGTGTAATATGTTATTTTTACGTGTAATATATATTTATTTTCTTTTTTTATTATATATGTGAAATGTAATTAAAACATAATTAAATTCTATATAATTGAATATACAGAACAATGTTATAATAACATATATCTCATATTAGAATTGTTAACATAATATTTTTAAACTATTTTATAAGATTTATAAGATTAATTTTATTAACAAATTTTTGAGAAATATCAGAATATTTTCATAATCTATAATTTGAAAACATTATTTTGATGTCTCTTATTATATATTTGAAAAAAGAAAAACCTTTTTATTAATGAAATTTATTCATTATTTGATTTTTCCATTTTAAGGCACGTGCTGTAATGTTAATACAAACGAAATATATTATTTGAAATATTGATGTTAGAAAAATAATAATTTAAGTAAGATGATTTTTCTAAAAAGAATATTTATATCATCGTATAATAGACTAAAGTTAAATAAGACGATACATTATTATGTCTGTATGTATTTTTGCTATTTTTACTACCGAGAAACTATTGTACGAGATAAAAAATTTTTATATATGTATGTACAAATCATCTTGCACATATATAGATTATTTCAGAAATAGATGGTTAAACTTAAAGAACGTTTTCTGTTTACTTTAAAGATGAGAAAAAAATCATTAAATATATATGTGTGTATGTGCGTGATAAAACGGATCAAATTCAGATTTTACAGAGCAGATGTTAAACATTAAATTGAGAAGAAATGCTTAGTTACTGAAAAATTATGTTGTGAGATTACAAAAAGTGATTTTTGATAAAACAAGTGATACTTTTATTTACGATGTAAATTATTCACATCATAAAAAAATTAGGATATTATTGCAACAGCATACTTCTGTGACTAAATCGAATCGAAAGGTCCTTTATCATTTCATCTAGCGAACAGTCATCGAGATATCGTGAGGTAAGAATTGCAAAATTTGGCGGCGCGGCGTATCAATATAATCTCTTTATAATATATTCGAAAGCCTAAAAATATTTCTTATGTAATAGGCTAACATGTTATAGGCTAACTCTTATAATTAGTTCATAAATTATAACAACGTTAACAATATTTATCTTATATAGATTTTTAAATCGATGTCATGATATATACCTGGGTTATAATATGTACCTAGATTTCTAAGTCTAAGTACATATATATAATACATACATACATATATATACAAACATACGTACATACGTACCCATTCATACGTAATATATATAAATCAGGGCAATACAAGCCGACAAGATTTAGGTGTCTGCTATATATCATACGCTTGAAATATATTAATTGCGATATTTAAATTTTATATTATAATACCTTAAGTAAAAAAAATGCAATACTGATTTGGATTCTTATTAGGATTCTCTTCAATAAAATGTTGACTAAAAATAATGAAGTAGCAGTTTATATTTTTAATGTTCAATTTATAAATCCTATTTTTTAATAGTTATGTGCTAATGATTTTCAACAAATACATCTATGCTTGCCAACTCGCATTGCCCAGTATATTTTTACTTAAAAGTTATGCATGTTTCGTATTTTCATTATTTCAAAATCGATTCTTGAGAAATCTTATCCTATTATAATACACATTTCTGATTATTTGGCTTTTTATATTTAACGGATGTACGTATCTATTAATCAAACTATCTAAATCATAGGTATTTATTCTAAGGCACCATATTATCAATATACTCGTCGGTGAAAGACGCGACTTGTGAGTATAACTATCAACAAAGTTGTCGATAGAATCGAAAGTCCCAAATCCGAGGCTCTTTCGTACAACATTAACAAGTGAAAAAAGTTTTCAATGATATTAAAAAAAAGATCTTGTAGAGGCTAGCATATCACGCTTACATGTGAAGGCTCTGCTGATAACCTTCGACTTCGTTGTACATTTTCTTGATGGGATCTTTTGGCAAATAATTATTGACCGCCGGCGCAACTTTATTGTTGCCAATGCCGTTGGTTAAATGCGCTGCGCCATTTTGCAGCATATGCACCGTTCCGTTTATAGCGCCGTTTTGATAAATATGACCGTTCTGCTGAATATGCTTCATATTATTCAATACGCCATTAGAGATGGCACCTACTCCTATAAACAGGATAAAATAAATATGAAAATATATTAGCGCTAAAATAAAAAGATGTGATTCATTTGTATACATATTAATGATTATTATTTATTGTTAAGATAAATTATTATTATTATACTTTGTAATGAAGAATATATAATATCACAAATCATTTTTTTCACGTCTCAGAGATAAATACGTTTATTTTACTTTATAAATTTATATTAGATAATTATACCTTGAGCAGTGATATCATTTATTTTTTTCGCTGCATCGATCCCGTTTCCAAAGTGATTAGACACGCCGTTGACCATCCGCTTAATAACATTGTTAGATGTGGCATGTTCGCTTTGATCGGTCACGGCGTGTATTCCGTTTGGGTGTCCGCTGATTGTTGATAAATCCGCATCATGAAGATTGTCCTCCTCTTTGCGACGTGTCCGATGCATCAATTGATATAACGCAGAGGCAAAATCCTGCTGCACGCTAGGCACATCTGTGTCTCCATCCACCTATCCGATAATAATCACACATTTTCTAAAAATCTAAGTTTATAATCTTATTAATCTTATAATAGCTATACCGGAGATAAATAATATTCTCCCTAATGAAAATATCTTTTTATAACAATTTACACAATGTTTTACGTCAATCGTTTTGTCGATAAAATATTACAACCCTATAAACACACAATATTCCTAGGATATTGTATAAATATTATTAACTGTTAATAATATTTTTTGTATAAATATTATTAACTGTTAATAATATTTATACAATATTTTAGGAATATTGTGTCTTATAGAGAAAGTATCGTTTTAATTTCATTAAAATTATTGATACGTACAATTATTAAACGATTGTCGTTGTCCAGTGTTTTCAACATGGGAAGGGACACCTCGCGAAAAAGCTCCAGTCTTTTCCTAAATGCCGAAACACTATCGTCCAGTCTTCCCCTCCCGAGTTGCAGCTTGGAGCAATCGAGTAGCACTAGCGGAGGCTCTTGTCCAAACTATTAATCATATTTATTTATCAATGCTAAGTGAAAATTATAATAAATTCGCCCTTTTAAGACATGAAATGATAAATTTTACCTTGCTTTCAAATTCTTGCACTTGATTCAAATCCCTAGGATATCCGTCCATGACAATACCATCCGTGTCTCGATTGAGAAAAATCTGTTGCTGCACAAGTTGCATCACAATCTCATGCGGTACCATTTCGCCCGAGACGATAGCATCGTTTACAGCCATATTCGACGATGCCATCGTTCTTAACAATTCCCCAATACTTATGTGTAGCCAGCCGGGCATATTGCGAACGGCTTGGGCGCAAAGAGCCGCCTTATTACTCCCCGGTCCACCTAACATATGATATGCATCAGGATAAGGAGCTTTACGATTAAAAAAAATAATAGAGGAAATAAAAAGAGAAAAACACCCTAACGATGCCTTATTTCCTATGATTTCGCGATCTTAATTTACATCAAATTATTACCTATCACCCAGATAAATGCTGGCAACCCCTTTCTCGGTTTATCAGCAGTTTTTAATGCCGCATTTATAGATAGAGGAGGCGGCGTCGTCGTACTGACTTGTTGCTTCGATAGCGGTGCACTCGTGATCGATTCTTTTCTTCTTTCCACTTCGACCTAAGAACAATGAAACAGTGAAATGTCAAGTTGTTAGTCGACAGAATCCGTCAAAGGATACTATAAAATTTTAATGCTTACCTCGGCTTCTAGAGATTGAGGTATATCTTGATCATGATTGTCGCCGCTTGACATGCCGAGAATTCTAAGGACGGCATCTCGAAAACTGACGTAAACCTCACTCGGATTACGTTCTCCATTTACCTGTATATAGAAAATTTTTATTTTCTATTTGAAATATATAACAAATATAAATGTGATAGAAAGAAGCAAAAATTTTTAATAATAATTCATAAATCAAAGATTATAAATTATATAACATCAAAAGAATTTGGAGTGATTATTAATAGCGAATTTTTTTTTGTTTTACCTCAAGTAACATTCCGCTTTGATCAAAGTATTCCGCGACCGGCATGACGTTCCTATAAAAATTATGTAACTCCATTCTAGCTAATCCGATAATGACGTGACCGAGTTGTGCGCCGAAATCAATTTGCCTCTCCAACACTTCTTGTCTCCACGATACAAGAATGACGCCATTGACGATTTTTATCTACAAATAATATTACATATATATTGATCTTTAAAATTTTATTAATAAACTGCTATTACTTGCTTTATTAATTGATGTTTTTTTTAATAATTTTTGTGCATAATTTATATTAGAGAAGATGTGACATAATTTAATAAATTATATTTATTATTAAATTAAATTTATATTAGGAGAGATTAGTTTTTTTGTTAAATTAATAAAAATATAAACCCATCAAAAATAAGATACTTACTTTTTCGGCATATTCCACCACGTCGCGCATATTTCGCGGATATCCGCTTACAAGAAAAACTTTGGCTCCTGGGGACATTTTCATCTCGAGCATGAGTACTTCTGTGACAGTCTTGCTACTAAGTTGTCCAAAATCCTGCATATCTATAATATAAATAGTTGAAATATATGACATTGCATGAATATAAATTCATTCATTTTTCCTCTCAAACAGTATTTACAAGATATGATGTCGAATCAAAATATCAAGAATAATTTATATGCTTTTAGAGAAACTACAACATATAATTTATACCGCACACACGTTCACATATGTGCATATATATGTATAATTCAATATTTACGATTATAAAATATGACTATGAAGGAAAATTACGAACCATTCCCTAGTGCATATTGTTGAAGAAGATCCATCATGTTGATATGCGTTATTCCCTTTTTCTCTTGTATCAAATTGTCGCAATATGTCACCTTACCACTACCGGGGCCGCCTGTACGAGATAATCGTAGAACATAGAGTATCGCAAAAAAATCATTTTGTAAATAATAATTAATTCTAAATTTTCAATGATATCAGATTCTTTCAAGCCATCTGGTCTCGTATAAAAATACAGATTCATAGAAACATCTTATGCGATATAGATCAATGTATCTCCAATTATAAAAGCGTAAAAAAAAGCAAAATGATTGATACGAACCAAGTACGAATATAACAGGAACTTTTGGTATTTCGAATTTAACTGGGCCAACATTTTGTTTCGGGAAATGTCCGTCTGGCGGAGTTGCCAAAAGACCAGCCTCGCCTCTCCATCTCCCTGTTCCTCGAGCATCGCTTTCCTCGAACACCTGCGATCCATTGTGCTGATCTGAAATATATTAAATTGTTATTTGATAAAAAAATATTATATCTACACACAAATGCACGATATTTTTTAACATAGAAATGTCGGCGTCTTTTGAATAATTTATTTATTTTAGAAAAAGAAAAATTCGCGACACCTCTTTTTAAAAAATTATTGCTGAAGTATCAATGTATCACATCTCTCTTTCATCTTAATCAATGAAAAACTTCGATAGATTTTTTTACAATTAGAAAAACCTTGATTACAATCTCAATTAATGTTAATTCTGTTTTCCTGTTTTCAATTATTACGACGAATGTATAAATAATAACAAGATGATAAAAATTTCAAGTTCGATTGAACAATTTACCAAAAAATCTAACTTTTTTCTCATTAGCATTCTACGATTATAAAGTTGGTATTATATTAACAATGCAAATGATAATAAATATTACTTTGCATTAATAAATATTTATTATGCATTTATTTTCTACTTATCATTGTCTATAAAGTAGCTGCTATATCGATAACATAACTTTAGTCTATATATTCGATTCGCATTTCTGTTGATTACGTTGCATGACAAAGCCAAAGATAAAAGTGGAAGTCATAACATAAAATATGTATTGTTGCATTTGAATACATTATTCATGTTTCATTCACGTGATGAATGTGACATCAAGTTAATCACTTCGATTTATAAGTCAAATATTTACAATCTTAAATTATCGTATATACTAATTCAGATTTATTTTTATCTATAAGAAAATTAGTCACTACTCGTAAAAGTATAATGTAAGTGAATTCTACAAAGAATCGAATTCTGATATATACTTCTACTTAAATAAAATTAAAAAATGTTAATTGATTTTCCTAGATATAGAAATTATTTAAAAAATATTAGTATATGTAAGAATCCAGTTGTTTTTCACAAATAAAGGTATTTCATATTATTTATATTCTATGATTTAAAAAAATGTTAGAATGTATAAATAGACAAATAAATGTATATTTTAATACAGTATTAATAATAATTAATAGTAGTAGAAATGTATTTTAATAGAGGAATTTTTATCGATTGTATTTGAAAATGAAAAAGGTTTAATAAAAAAATGAATAATTAAAATTTATATATAATTAATCCGAAAATATATGGAGAATTCATGGTATAATTTTATTTTATACCTCATATAGTAAAGAGAATAAAGATTTTTAAAAAATATCAGGAATTTGTATATCAAGTCTTTTATGTTAAATTTTTACGTTAAATCTTTACGTTAAATCTGTCTCTCGAAGAAACATTTATTGACTGTTAAAAGTAAATACATTTTAATGTAATAAAGAAAAGTTACTTAAAATTAATTATTATTGTTTATTATCGATCAAATGTGATTTTACTATTAGAAATTAAACAGGTCGAAGAATATAATCTTGGCTTTGTTACACAAACAAAAAAAATACTTGTAGAAATACACACTATTTTATATTTATTAATTATATATTGTATATATTGTATAAAGTATTATTATTATTATTTTAAAAAATTATATTATTTTTATAAATGTTTCTAACTATATTACACACACACACACACACATACACACACATATATATAAGCTTTTTATAATAATCTTTATTTCATTCTTTTAGAAATATTTTTTTTGCGTCAAAAATTATATATATATATATATATATATATATATATATATATGTTAACTTTTAAGTTGAATATTTTATTATATATTATGTTAATTGCAATATAAATATTCAATATATCCACTTTTCAAAGGATGTGTATAAATTAAAAATTTTTAATTTTGCATGCTGCTAATCCCTTTAGCACTTATTATAAAAAGCTCTATTATTCTACATCCATTTATTCTTTAATAACACTAATTAAACTATACACAGATGTATATGTTGTGAATTGAATCGTATGTAATTTCCTGATAAGTTTATTGCAATGGCGAGGAAAGACTTTCTGACGTACGACAATGTCACTTCTGCAATATCGATCGTAATAATATATTCGCGATAATCGTAAATGTTATTGTTGCGCGTTTCGTGTTCAAGTTTTTCGTATGTATTATGAAAAATCAGAATTTAGAATAGAGGATATTATTTGATTTCCGGGGAAAATATTCTTTTACTAGCTTATTTCTATTTCAGATGAAAGCGTTTTCAAAATTTTAAGATCAGGTATTTTTTTCAACAAAAACAAATTTATTTTTAAACAAATATTCATTTTCTTATATAAGTCAGTTGTCCCATTACTAAAAGTAGTAAGATTATAATATAAAAAAATATTATAATATTAAATCAATTTGCTAATTTATAATTTATTATATAATTTATTTATAATTATATAATATAATTGTATAATAATAAATTTATTTATTTATTTTGTTGTGTGACACGAAATACGTAATATTTTGACGTAACTTTATTTTTAATATTTTTATGTATAGAATAATAAATTAATTAATAAAGCCTTCTTTCCTCGAACAAAGCACTTAATATTTTTAAAATACTTATTAAATCAATTCGCGTAATTGTCAGTTCAAAGTTGAACTTTTGTTATATTATTTCATACATTAAAAGATTGAAATCTCAGATTATTCAACTATAGAAGTTCACCATGAAACAGAGATCGTTAACTTGCATACAGTAATAATTAGTTATTCATGTACTAACCAGTGTCAAGGCAGATGCCCATAGTAAGTCGTTCGAGGACTGGCACAATCCTTCCACGGCCATTTACATTCACATGCTTCTGGCAGATGATTTCATCCCTGCTTCAATACGTGAATTTTAAAGAATCATATGCAGCTTGTGACCTCACGAGACACTTTCACATTAGTGATAAGTATTCCGCGTTTTATCGCTCGACAGTTTTTTTAATCGATTTCTTGTAATCGAAAATTGCCCCGACAAATGCACACTTTTAATTATCTTATTGTTAGTTCGATCTGGTTTTATCCGTGGAATTTAATTTTCTTCGCTACAAAGCGACGTCCTAGTGACGGAGGCGTGTGCACTTGCCACGTGTTGATTCGCGTCGAATCTATTCGACGTAACTTCCTTAATAAACATTTGAGAATAAAACCAAGTAAAATCACTGTCCACATCGACGTTGCTTGTACTTTCGATGATTTACCCGACGAATCCACGACAAATTATTACATTCAGCTTCATTTCAAATATCATTTTATGTCATGCGCGACACTTGAACAAGAGAATAACGAGCACCTGAAAACTATATATCGTCAATTTTACAATATACTTTCGAAAAATTTTAACTTTAGAACGATAAATTAACATTTTACAACTATTGTTAAGTATCAGAAGAAAAGAAAAGAAAGAAAAAATATCATTTCAAACAAATCTGAACAAATTAACATGAATAAAATATTGAATGTGTATCTAATTAGAAGAATATTTTTGTAAAATTATTGTAATATAATAAATTAATCAGTAATAAAAAACTTTTTTTTTAGAACAAAATCAGATAATTATATATTAAATTTTTAAAATCGTTTTTAAAAAAGAAAGAAAAGTATGAACAAAAAGTATGTGAGAAAAAAAAGAATTGTATTTTCTAATGTTTCTAATGTTTTGAATGTCATCATTTCTGTTCATCATTTATATTTTGAATACGTCGTTAGAACAAATTTTACTTATAAGATTTGTAGCGAAAAATGAAATAAATTATACGTATTCTTTTTGAATAATGTTAACAAATCTTTTCATGAAAAAATTCTTACTTATCTCATTACTAATATATTGACAAAGTTCTAAAAGCTCAAATTATTATTATACAAATTTCTAATAAATACAGAAATTAATTAACATTATATTTAATCAGAGCTGTATGATAATCATTAAAAAATTAATCATTACTAATCATTACCAATACTTTTAATGAAAATGTGTTAAAATCGTAATTATCATATGTATATACGCGCACGTGTGTAAAAAAGATATTGATAAATTTATATAATGTGATGAAATAGAAAGACGTTTCGATGCAAAGCTCATTAATATTGCAATCAAGAGTCTATGTCATTATAGGAAAAAGTTAGATGGTTGCGTTTCGATGTCATTTAGAAGTTGAAAATATGAAATTATACCTAGCTTTACAGAGTATTTAATAATAATAATTTCATGTATTGATGCAAGAAATTATTTTATAAAGAAAACAGATTGAAGAATATATATATATATATATATATATATATATATATATATCAACACATGACATTATTAAATACTATGTAGAGTTAAGTATAATTCCATATTTTCAACTTCTAAATGACATCGAAGCGCAATCATCTTCCATCTAACTTTTTCCTATAATAACATAGACTCTTGATTGCAATGTTAATGGGCTTTGCATCGAGGCATCTTTCTATTTCATCACATTATATAAATTTGTTAATATCTTTTCCACACACGTGCAGCTATGCACACAATAGTTACGATTTTAATACTAATCTAAAAGAAGAAGAAAATTGTTCGTTCAAACACTTCCTATGTTTTTAACTTGAATTATCTCTCAAAATTTATGTCGCATTTTTTATTGATCTCACTCCTCATCTAAATCTAAATAATATGTTGTTACATTGCACATCGTGATTACGTTAAATAGCGTAATTCCTAAAAAACTTTCGGTTTCTACATAAAACACATCCTATGTAAAAACTTTCGATTTTTACACAGAACGCATACTATATTAAACTCTCCGAAGTAAAATCTTTCATCGCATTAATTCCAAGGACACAAACCGAATAGGTATCGAACAGTAGTTTAGCATGAGCGCGGGAATTTGCAAAATTGTAAGATGATGACTTTCGATCAAATTACCTTACAGGTGCAAATGCGATTATATCGAGACCGAGATAAATGGGACGCCGAAAACTTTCGAGTTCAACGATCGATCTCTCATCGATGAGGATAAATTCACACGTTTCGACTCGAAGGATTGGAGAACACACTTGAGCTTCCCGGAAGGACCGGCTTTGCGTCGCGCACGACTACACGAACGACTATGAGTCACGATGCTTTTGTGCAACCGAGTTTTTACGCCCTTAGCTTTCTTATACAATGCGCACGATAATGCTATAATGATTTGTCAGGAACGAATAGAGGTCGTGCTCGAATGGTAAGAACCACTTGTCGTCATGGATACAGCGCAAGCGCCCGATTCTTTTATACCCTCGTGCATGTACTTTGCATATAGTCGGAATAATGGACGTGCGAATACGTGTGAGTGAAGTCACATGTACATATGCGCGATGGGGTGTAATGTGGAGGGTTCAATGTCAAGTTCCCTGCCGGCGCGACTGTTCTCGAAGCGGGGGTTCGATGAGCAAGTAGTCAGGCGAGGGCGGAACGCGAACAATAATGCGTTCAAATATCATTTGCTTAAATTTCATCGACTAGAAAACTGTAAGATATGAGAATATGACATGAAAGAGAGGCATTAAAAGAAAAAGACAAAGCTTTTATTATTTATTCTCACTCTTATGTTTCTTCTTCGAATTCTTGTATATATAATCCTTCGTATTTGTCTTCTCCTAGTTTAGATTCAATCAACATGAAATAATAAACAACGCAAAATGTATAATCTTTAACAACAATTTTGACAAATTTTAACAAATAAAGTAACTTATGAAAATTTTCGTTGGAAAGCATTCAATAGAAATAGATCACTTTCTGATGTTATTCATGTACAGCAGAATAGGTACTCTTCTGTAGTAAAATTGTTAATATGCACTTATATTTTCGTGGGATCTGTCAGAATAGCGACAGCTGCGATACCTTTTCAGTACATTACACAGGAATAAGAACGTGTTAGGCATTTAACGCACAAGGCTAATACGAAATTTATGATCTCGTTTTCGATCGAAGGAGGAATATATAAGAACCATAACAAGAAGACATTCGCAGTATAAAACGAGTTTAGGAACGTCTAAATTCTATGTATATGCTTCTATCTGCACTTTTTCTATACTCGAGAATTAGCTATAGACATGTACTCGAATGTTCTAACTCGAATTATCATAATGTATTATCGATGCACATGCTCTTTCTGTAATAAAAATTTGACAAAAAAATTACAACGCAATTCCAGGAGCTATAATTCTTCGCTAACTTTATGAATTGTTTTATATCTTATTTGAATAAATATTTTATCACATTGTATAGATTTTCCACTATCTTTTTCATACACGTGTGTATATATATATAATTATATACGATAATTACACGATTTTAATATTAATATAAAAAAAGAAGAAAAAGCTTTTCTCCTACAAACTCACAGTTTCTATTAAATTTATGTAGCATCTTTTTATTGATATCTCTCCATTTAAATCTAACTAAATAATATATTGCATTGCATTACGTCAAATAATGTAATTTTAGACATTAAAACAAAATTATAGTTTTCTTTTTAATTTAAAAAAATGAGATAATTGAAATATTTTTAATCTCAGCGTTATTTTATTACAATTTAATTTTTTCAGGAGTTACGCCGAGCAAAGCGCAATCGCATTTTCTTTTTCTATTCTTTTATTAAAACTAATAATTTTTTTTATATAAGATAAATCATGTATTTATCCTATAATGTATAAGAACATTAAGGTAAATTGAATAATTTATAAGATATTTCATATATTCTATATCAGTAAACATTCAATCTTCATATCAATCATGATAAGTATGACATGAAGATTTAACATTTGATTATTAATATATTTTATCTTACCATTTCAATAATTTCGATTCGTATTTTCACATTCTACATAAAATTTAATTAATGCAAACTCAATGAATCAGGATAATGCAATAAAAAACCCAATAAAATTATTAATATTCTTTGGATATTTATGCTTATGACAGTAGATATTCGATTCTTCGATCGAAGACTGACATATAAAATAGTATATGCTGTATGATATCCATTATTTATTTTCCATAAATAATAGATAGCATCAATACATATAAATAATAATGTCTTGATAAGACATTTTTCTAATTTTGTTAGTAAATAAATACTAACCCGAATTATGCAAAAGGCCGAAAGACATATTAAAGATGAATTAACGATAAGGAAATGTCTTTAAATCTTTTTTAAACGTCTTTTATATGGATATGGAATGTCTACGAAGTTAATATACTCTTTTTTACTAAAATAATACATTATTTAATTTTTACTTTTTCATTTAACTGACTTTCTAAAAATTATTCATTAAAGTAATATTCATTTATTTAAATGAATCACAATATTTAATATTTAATATCAATTTTTTTTTAGGATTTTGATTATTCTAATAATATTAATTATATTATTAAATTTTTACAAATGTAATTACATCCTTAAAAATGTAAATATAATAGCATGTGTATAACATAAATATAACATAAAATCATATTGACATGATATAATTTTATAATAGATTATCATGATAAAAGTAATTAATGAAGATATAAAGAACCTATGTAATTCGGTAGCAAGTAAAAATTAATAAAAATAAATACTAAACTAATAAAGATAAACAATAAAACAAAATTTATGGCTATGAGTATGCGGAATTAGAAAAGACATTAAAAATAATATTAAATATTAAAATTGATAAAGAATAAATTCAACAAATAAATAAAATAAAATATTTGAATGGATTATAAAAAAAGTATTTTAATTTAAAAAAATATATATATGTGTGTGTAAAAAAATGAATCACAGAAAATATATTTTCTTAGAAAAAAAAAAGTTGGTCGCTCGCTCTCTCTTTCTCTCTTTGTTTTTTCACCAGAGAGAAAAAGAGAAAGAAAAAGATAATATGAGCTTTTTATATGATACTTTTTATAGGATAATATTTTATATTTTTTCTATATGTTCATAAAAATTGCTTTAATGATTTAATGAATAATTTTATGTAATGTTTTATAGAAGTTCTACACATGTAAATATTAGAAGCCAAATAAATTTTATGCAAAGTCACAGATCTTATATTTTACGCCCACATAAATTGCTTTTTTCATCACACACAACAAAATCACAATATTTGCAATATAGATAAAAAATTAAATCGAATTATTATATAAAATGCGATTTTAAATAATTATCACATTTTTTAATAAAATAAAGTAAATATTTAATAAAGTAAAAAATTTCTAACTTTCTAACGCAATTAAATTATGAAATATCAATTTTATATTACAAAAGCATATATATACATAGTGTAATTTTCAAGGTATCACTTTAACATAAAGTTCGTTGGTAATATAACTCCGATCGACTTATCATGAATATTTAATAATACCTGTTATCGGTTCCGTTTCAAGAAATTATATCCTTATTGTATAAAGCCATCTAACCCACTTTACCCGCTCTAACCGTTTTACTGAATGTATAAAAACGTATGTCGATTTAATTGGATTTTAACGAGAAATTGATGTCTCACGACTATTTAAAATGACACAATACTTTCTTCCAAATGATACAACTCACATTTTTTATTTATTTGATCTCGACGATTGCAACTTAGTCATTGTGTTTATAAAAAATAAGCAATGACAATCTACAATATTTTTGCAAAGAACAAAAGATACTCTGCACAAAAGATTTTTCAGATAATATAAATATCAAATATCAAAAAGTAAAATTTTTATTAATAATAAAAACAATAAGATTCTATTAAATTACTAGTAACATTTTAAACAAGAGATGCAAAAGTAATATTTATTCTTCCGTCTTTTTTTCATAAAAAAGAAAAACTTATTCGCCTTTAAAAGCGCTCATATAAATTCTTAATGGAAATGATTCCTTAAATAAATATACATCAAATATTTGTTTCTTTTGTTTTAATTTGTAACGATAATGATGATGATTTATTAAATATTAAGTTACTGTAGTGTATGTACAAGCATACAGGATAAATTATTTCGACGAACTGACATACAGCTGATTCAATCTCATGAAGTCTTGCATAATTCCATCTTGTCAAATTAGAAGTGATGTGACCGCATTTTCGTATATTATATATGATATTTATTTTGATAATGCGATTCACAGGAATTTGTATGTGCATATGCAATTTATACATATATTGTTTTGCCAATTATGAATCGAATTAAAATAAAATAATAAATTATAATTATATCTAATATTTCTCGTATATGTTCATTAAAATATTAAATAAGAGTTAAATGAAAAAAACATTTAAAAAATTAGATTGTTTTACAACTTACACAAACTATAAAATTGGAAGATTTAGATATTTAGATATATAGTTTTATGTTCAAAATTGTCCAAATCGGAATTGAAAAAGCAATGCCTAATATATATATATATATATATATATATATATATATATATATATATATATATATATATATTGTTCTGTCCTTGTGCATTACTCATCAATGTCAAGTAAAGACAGAACGATATTGAGTAGAATCAACTTTAAGTTGTTCCTAGTTAGACATATTACATAATTTATCTAATGTACAATAACTGTGATTATATATATAATATACGCGACATAGTGCCTTTTATATCAGGTCTGTGAATATCTAGTTTTAGTCACGTTACACACCGATTCCATGAATAGAAAGAATAAAATTTGCAAGATGCAGCATTGCATTTGACATTATGTAAAAATATCCGCAAAATCGATGATGAATTTTAGATTTCTTCTTCAAGGAAAAACTCAAGATGGAAAGAAGGGTTTAGTTCCGAAATTTTAAAATAATATTGAGGAAAATGTTGAATTTCCATAAATTATGATTGCAAGAGGAAAGTTCACATAATATTCCTGAGACAGAATTTTCTAAGTAATCTCGATATATGACGAATTGCTCAAAAAATTACCGAACAAGATTATTATTAAAAGATAAAGAATACACAAATTTAAAAAAATAATAGAAATGTTATAGAAAATAGAGCAAGAATAAAATCCATTTTTCAATTTTTATGTCAAAATTTATGGTGTTACAGTAAAAAAACAAGGAATTTGACTTTTAGAGAGTTGTAAAATTTCTTTTATGACGATTTCGTCCTAAAAAATAATTTAATACGCTTATGTTACGCTTATCGT